ACCCCGGGTGGGGTGGGGCCCACAGACACTCCCAGGGCAGGCTGGGCGCCCATCCTGAAGACAAGAAAGTGGTGTTTCCCCCGGAGGCCACAGCAGCACAGGCCCTCCGGGACCTATTTTTTTTTCTTTCTTCTTCTTTTTTTTTTTTGGAGAGGTTTTTGCTATAGGGCGTGTGTGCTTGCCAGAGAGACAGAGACAGAGAGACAAAGCAAGAAATCACCCCCTAGGGGGGATGGCCACGCCGCAATCCCTTCTCCTCCATTCTCCTCTCGGGATCTTGGGCACGCACGCACACGCGCCTGGCGTGAGTTTAAGCCACCGCGTCTGGGACTCGAACTGTGGTCGACTACATGGGAGTCCAGCGACATAGCCATTACGCTAACTGCTGGTCCCTCCGGGCCTTTTTTTTTTAATCATTATTTATTTATTTGTTCATTTATTTTAATTTGACCAGAGAAAGAAAGAGGGAAAGTGAGAAAGCAAGCCACCAGGCCTGGGACTTGAACCGTGGTCGGCCATGTGGGAGTGTCCAGCACCTTCCCCCTCCGGGACCTTTAATCCTCCACCAATCTTACAGGGGTTCTTGGCTGTAGGGGCGGCACGTGAGAGCCAGCTGGGCCCTCGCAGGTGCTCAGCGAACCAGCCCGCCTGGCTGACCGCCCGTCCCCGCCGCCCCGCACCTTGAAGAAGTCGTCCTGGTGGATCACGCAGCAGCCGGGCAGCGCCTTGGCTAGGCGGTCGGTCAGCGTGGTCCTGCCGCCGTTGGTCACGCTGCGGGGAGAGCAGGCTCAGGAGCCGGGAGAGGCTCGGCCCGGTCTTCCCAGGGTCTGGGAACAGCCCCTAGGGCGTTTTAATTCCGCTAGAGGCAGGGTAGGTAGGGTCAGAGGGGCTTTCTGAGCAGAGGGAAGGGGCACGGGGAGCAGGCAGCCTGCAGGGGGCGCCCGCGCCAACCCCGGGGGTGGGGGGGGCACATGCACCTGTGAGGGCGAGGAGGGCGAGAGGGAGGACGCGCCTCCCTCGTGGGTGTGGCCACCCTGCAGCCCTCCCTCCATCTCCCCATCTCGCCAGGATCCTGCGTTTGCACGCACTGCGCTGTGTGGTGTTCGAGCCCCTGGGCTGGGACCAGAACTCCCGCCAGCCTAGTGGGTCGGGGTTTTCTACGCACAGGGCCCAACCCCACTGTTCGGGGTGGCCTTGCCAGGGACATTCTTTTTTTTTTCTTTGGAGAGATTTTCACTGTAGGGCGTGTGCGCTCGCCAGACAGACAGAGAGAGACATAGAGACAGAAAGCGAGAAATCACCCCCCACGGGGGATGGTCACACCGCAATCCCTTCTCCATTCTCCTCTCGGGATCTTGGGCACGCACGCACACGCGCCCGGCGTGAATTTTAAGCCACCGGGTCCGGGACACGAACCGTGGTCGACTACGTGGGAGTCCAGCGACATAGCCATTACGCTAACTGCTGGTTCCCGCCAGGGACATTCTTTAGATGTTTAAAATGTTATGTTTAGTTTGCTGCAGAGAGACAGAGAAAGTGAGAGCTCACCCCCTGCAGGAAGGCCACGGTGTAATCCCTTCTCTGTCCTCCTCTTGGGATTTGGGGCACGTGCACACATACCTAGCATGTTTTTCAAGCCGCCGGGTCTGGGACTCGAACTGTGGGATCCGTCTGCCTTAACCACCTGTCCCCTCCCCATTCACACTTCTTTACCATTCTGACTTTTTGTTTTAAGCCCGAGTGAGCTCAAATCTGACCTGAGGCTAGGGTTCCCCTCCCGGTGTGCAGTAAAAGCAGAAAAGTACATGTCAGGTCCTGAGCCAGGCCTTGGTGGGCCGGCCAGGTGGCGTGCAGGGAAAGGCGCTGGCTCCCACGTGGCCGGCTGCATGGTTTGAGTCCCAGACCTGGAGGCTTGCAAAACACACTGGGCGCACGTGCATGCCTGAGACCCCAGGAGGAGGATGGACGAGAAGGGACTGTGGCATGGCCTTCCCCCAGGGGTGGTTTCTCACGCCCCCCCCCCCTCTCTCTCTGTCTCTCTCTGGTGCATTAAAAATAAATAAATGAGAAGAAACGCCTGAATTAACTCCAGTGCTTCTGTCCCTGGCACTGTAAAATTTACAGGACTGGGTATAAAATTAAAATGCGGGGCCCCTTGTTCCAATCCACGAGGAGCTTTGAGGGTGACCCAGGGCACAAAGCCAAGCATTCATGAAGCCAGACCTTCCTGTCCACGACAGGAGGGTCCGTAACAAGTTTGTGGCAGATACACGGGATGGAGAAACCTGGCCGTGGGTGGCGTGGAGGTTAGGGCGCTGACCCCGCACGGTGACGGCGCAGTGTTGTCCCGCAGCCGGTGGCTCGGAAACCACACCGGGCGCGTGTGCGTGGGCACCCAAGATCCCGAGAGGATGTGCCATCCTCCCGGGGTGACGTCTCACTTTCCCTCTCTCACTCCCTCTCTAGCAAGGGCACACCCCTACGAAAAACTGAAATAATAATAATAATAATAATTAACTAAATACTAAAAAATCACTCATAGATTTCAAAGGACTTTGCACCAGAGAACTGCACTTGAACCCCGTCTTCCCAGGCTGTCCGTCCCCTGGCCCGCCCAGGCAGTCTCTTCAAAGCCCTCGCTATGGCCAGAGAAGAGTGGACCCTCCTGGGCACAGAGGCTCCTGTCGGGGCCACACAGGGGTGACTCGTTCCGAGGTGACAGTGCAGAGTCTGGCTGAATGGCCTTCCAGGCAGCCCCGGCCCGCCCGTCCGTGGAGGTCTGCCTGTGCGGAGGGAACGCCCTGTCCAGTTGTATTTCTGGATTTTACCCTGAGCAGCATTGCAGGGGTGGGTGGGGTGGTTTCCATTCGGTCCAGGAGACATTGGGCCGCCCCCTCCCCAGCACTCAGACCTGGGGCGCCGGGCAACCTTCCATCACACCCCGGTCTCCCCAGCCTCCGCCGCGCTCACCCTCCAATGCCCACGATGACCTTCATGTCTGCTGAGTGGGGGACACGGCGGCTCCCAGGCTCCCAGGCAGCCCTGGCTGGGCGCGACCACCGTCCCGCTGCGGCCCGCACCACTCATTGACAAAAACAGTGCCTTTATAGGCCCTGAAGCCTGGAGGCCAGCCCGGGGGAGGTGGCTGAGGGTGAGGGCTGGGGGTGGGGACGCGGCACCTGTTCTGGCGGATGGAAATAGCTTCTGGTAACCTTTTGCCTAAATTAGTCCTGGACCACGGGACGGTACGGGGATGGCTGCACCCTCCCTTCCCTCCCACCCCACCCCTCCTCTCGCGTCCTGGCCAGACTGCCTGCTACACATTCTCCTTCCCTAAAATATCACGCCCGCTCCCCTGGCCTGACCCTGTGGAGACACTCGGCTCTCGCGCCCTCCGGTGCCACAGACCAGGAATTCACCGTGCCCCGCCTCCGTCCTGGCCCTGTGCCCTGCGGGGCCTCCTTTGTCAGGGCTTTGGGGCCACAGCAGCCGACTGACAGCTTCGGCCTGCCACTCAGGCTTCCCGGGGACGCCAAGGAGCCTCCTGGGCCCTGCAGGTCCCCTGTTGGTTGGGGAAGGATTCTGGGGTTTTGCAGCTCAGGGAGAAGACGAGTTCCCCCCAGGGCAGTGGGGACAGCAGGGGTGCACAGCCCCAGAGCAGAGGATTGGGGCGTGTGCAGGGGTTCAGAGACTCATGGGGTTCAGGGTTCCTGTGGAAGGCAGCCCTGGGCGGCCCGGGTGGTGGAGATGAGGGGCTTTGTCAGATAGGACGGTGAGCAGAGGCTGAGGGTATGGGATTCTGGAATCCCGGGGGACCCCACCCCAGAATGTGTGAGACCCCCCACACAATCCCAGGTGAAATTTGAATTAATTTATCTTTATTTTATTCTGGTTTTATTTTTCACTTGCCATAAGGTGTGGGCACTCACTGGAGAAAGAGACAGAGACGGAAAGCGAGAGATCACCCCCCACCCCCGGGGGGACAGCCGCCTGCAAGCCCTCTCCTCCATCCTCCTCTTGGGCTTCCCAACTGCCGAGTCCGGGACTCGAACGCTTAGTCGGCCGTGTGGGATTCAGCCACCCTAACCACCATGCCACAGGCTGGCATCCTCGGGTGAGATTCTCTAAAAAATGGTTATTTACTCAGAGAAGAGTACAGTGCGCCCGAGAGCAAGAGACCGTCCACGGGGTGCCCGCACAGTGCCCAACCTCATGCCCTTCAGCCTGCTGGGTCCAGGGCCTGCGCTGTCCCCTGGGCGCCGTGCTGTCCCCTGGGCCTGCGCTGTCCCCTGGGCGCCGTGTGCACCCTCGCCAAGGCTTGCTCGACTCAGCTGACACGGAGAGACCCAGCAGGACGTGAGCAGCTGGACTAGGTGGAGCCGGGGACGGACGTGGAGCCGTGGCTGCCGCCCGGGGTCGAGGGCAGTGGAGACCTCACACACAAGTCTGGGTGTTCTGGGGTGACGGGAGGTCTCTCAGCTGGGGGGTGCCAGTCACATGACACCCTGACTTCCTCGGAACCATTCACTCTGAAGTGCTTCCCCAGGGGACCCGCTGATCTGCGGTGCTGATGTCGCTGGACTCTCATGTGGTGGACCGCGGTTGGAGCCCCGGGCCCAGCGACCTCGAACGCACGCCGGGCGCGTGTGCGTGTGTGCCCAGGATCCCAGAGGAGAATGGAGGAGAAGGGACTGCGGCGTGGCCATCCCCCCTGGGGGGTGATTTCTCGCTTTCTGTCTCTCTGTCTCTGTCTTTCTGGCGAGCACATACGCCCTATAGCAAAAACCTCTGTAAATAAATAAAGAAAAATAATATAAATTAAATTACATAAATTGTCATTAGAAAAAAAAAGGCCAAGATCTCCCCGTCTGCCATCCTCCTGCGGTCTCTCTCTGCTGGGGGACCCCCCCAGAGAGGAAGACAGCCGTGGTCCCCGATCGCTCACGGGAAGACGGGTGTCTGATCCGACGGCCGGAGAACCTGGACGTCGGCGCGGCTGTGTCGCCCAGGCCCGGGGACAGAGCTGCTAGAGAGGCCAGGAGAGGAGCAGCCGCAAGGGACAGTCTATGAAGGACCGTGAGCACACACCGCAGGCTCTCACTCGGCCCCTGGAGCCGGGCCGCCCCGCTGGGCTGGTTTCCGCAGGGAAAACCCGCTCCGGGCTCGACCTCTGGTCTGGTTTCAGCAGCAGTTCCTGGGAGCCTCCTGGGCACGTGGCTTGGGTCACAAGAGGCTGTGACTGCCCAGATGGAGGCCTGGCAGGACGCCTCTGCGGGCCTCGGGGGCAGCGCGCGTGGCCGCTCCGACTGCAGGCCGTGTCCCCGTGTGGCCCAGGGCCTGCAGCCACGACCGTTCCATCACGCGGCTCGTCAGCCCAGGGACGCGAACTGTCCAGAGCGGGCAGAGCTGCGGGGCCAGTGCAGCTTCGTGGGTGCAGAGGCTGAGGGTGGGGTGGGGGCTCTCACGGGGACGGAGCGTCCTTTTTGGGGTGATGAGAATGTTCCGGAACTGTGATGTCATCTGGGAAAGTCATCTTCCGGGCCCAGCACGTGGCATGGTGGTTGTGGCACTGGACTCCCACGTGGCTGACCGCGTCCCAGACCCAGTGGCTTGACATTCACACCAGGCGCGTGTGCGTGTGTACCCAAGATCCCGGGCGGAGAATGGAGGAGAGGGGACTGCAGAGTGACCGTTCCCCCTGGGAGGGGTTTTTCACTTTCCCTCTCTCACTGTCTCTGTCTCAGTCTCTCTCTCTGGTGAGCACATGTGCCCTAAGACAAAAACTTCCCAAAAAAACAGTCATGGGACCAGCAGATGATGTAATGGTTACGTCATCGGACTCCCACCCGGTCAACCCCAGTTCAAGCCCTGGACCCAGCGGCTTGTGTGCATGCCCAAGATCCCCGGAGGACAGCGGAGGAGAAGGGACTGCAGGGTGGCCATCCCCGCAGGGGGTGATTTCTCACTTTCTCTTCCACTGTTTCTGTCTCTCTCTCTCTGGCGAGCGCATGCACCCGACGGCAAAAACCTCTATTTTTTTAAATTTTTTAAAATTTAACTTTATTTTTTAAAAATTTGAACAGAGAGAGTGAGGAGGGAAAGTGAGAGAGCACGCTGCCAGGTCTGGGACTAGAACCGCATCAGCGCCTTTAACCACCTCACCCTCCCCCAGCCTCGGGCAAAAACCTCTTTAAAAAGAAAAGGGGAAAAGAAAACAGGTGTGTGTGTGCTTGCCGGGGCGGCGTCCCCTCCCCTCTCCACGGCGGCCTCCAGGTGGGTTTTCCGGGAGGGACGTGCTGGCCCTGGGGCGTTCCAGGCTCCTGGCCTGCAGCCTCCCCTCCCGCACCCCGGCCTGCAGGAGCCAGGCCCCTGCGCCCCCAGGCCCTGCGCAGCCCGGACACCGAGGCGGGAGCCTCCCTTCGCAGGTGCGTTTATTGACGCCACGTAAAACCCGGCTCCCAGGGGCCTGCACGGCCACAGAAACCGCGAACCTCGCCGGGACGGGTGGGCGTGTGGACGGGGCGGCGGGGAGGGTGGAGGACGCAGCCCCCGTGTCACACGACAAGGCCAGCGCCCCTTCGTGAGCGGGCGGGCTCGGGGTCCGGTGCACTTGGGCGAGACTGCCCTCCGCGCACCTGTCCCGCTGAGCGGGGTTCGAGCTGTGCGCCCCGCTTCCCACACCCGGCGGGCGGAGGGGGACGAGTGGCCTTCAGCCCGCCGGCAGGGTCCTCGGTTCCACGTGCTGTCGTCTGCTGGTGTTCCGGAGGGGGTGGGCCGCGGCAGAACGGGGGGCCCTGCTGGGGTTTCTGGGGGTGCAGGGCCTTCAGCCCGCAGGCTCGAGGTGCCCGGGGCTCTGTCTGTCCGGTTGCCACCACAGGCCCTCGGTGGTCGCTGTCTGCCTGAGGGGTCTGTCCCACCGGGACAGTCTGCAAACTGGGTCAGCGCCTGTGGTCTCATGACGTCGGCAGAGATGGGTCACGCTGGGGTCCTGTGCCTTGCCCAGATGGCGTCTTCCAGAGCTCTGTCTGCAGAGTGCGGGTGGCATCTGTCCGCGTGTCAACGTCCGAGGGTCCCGGATGAGCCCAGAGCTCGGGCAGCGGAAGGTGCCCGGGTATAAGCCAGCTGCTGGGCAGGGGCAGGGGAGAGGCGGGCGGGGGCAGTGGGTCCTTGGGAGCAGACCGGAGAGGCCCAGCCACCAGCCCCTGCTGCCTCAGATGCCAGGGGACACGTCAGACCCCCTGGACACCACGGGGGTCCTCGCCCTTTCTGTGACATTCATGAAACAAGTTAAAAGTCCCATGGGTGCAGCCTCACTGGAGCAGTGTCCCTCCGTGGCAGGAACGCCGACTCACCCAGGGCAGGGGTGCTGGCACTCGGGCGGGGAGAGCAGGGCCCTGCCCCACCTGATGGGTCACAAAGCTTTCGGCATCCCTGCACCCACCACTACATGCGGCCAGTCCCCTCCCCTCCTCGGCATGTCCAGGGAGGCGGGACTGGGGGGGACTGTGGGGCCGGCCCAGTGAAGCCCGGCAGCACTAAGGAGCGGCAGCACTGCGGAGCCAGCAGCAGCGGGAGGGACCGAGGATGGGCTGTCAGCTTTCGCTCAGACCCACCAACACCGAGACAGGGGAGCGAGGCGACCTCGGGGACCGCATCTCGGGAGCTCACCCGAGGGTGCTGGGACCACCCCACAGAGCCGTCCCTCAGCCATGGGAGGTTCGTCCCCGGACCTGCTGGTCCCAGTGGGGCCGGGCGGCCCACATGCGGGCCCTGCCCGACGCCCCGCACCCCTTCTTAGGCCTATTTTTTTCTTTTTCTTTGCTAGAGACTGTTTGTGCTCTCCAGAGACAGAGAGGGAGGGAGAGGAGAAGTCACCCCCTTGGGGAACGGTCACGCTACCATCCCTCCTCCATCTCTGGGCTTGGGGCTCATGTGCACGTGTGCTCGGGTGTTTCTCAAGTCGCCAGATCCGGGACTCGAACCGCAAGGTCAGCTGTGTAGGGATCCAGCTGCCTTAGCCACCGGGCCACGGAGCTGGCCCTGAGGGCTGCCTGTTTCTGAGCCACTTCTCAGCCTCTGCTCTCGGTGAGAGCCAGCAGAGCCTGTGCCCTGCTCCTCGGTGCTGGGGGACATCCCCTGGGAGGGGGTACTGGCTGGGACTGCCCTGTGGTGTGGAATGTTCTAGAGTGAGGGTGCCTTTTGGAAGTGTAAGACAAGAATGACGAGCAGTGGCTCACTTGTGCTCCGGGCTCCGGCGTTCCTGGAGGAAGTGAGCATCCTAGCAGGCAGAGGGAGCAGGGCAAGTGGAAAACCATGGGAGTGAACCAGAGGTCTGGGAGAGCTGGGGCGTGGCCCTGCGGGGCGCCGAGCTGCCAGGCCCGGCCGTGTTCTGGACGGGAAGGCACAGAAATGCTCCAGACCTGGCCCGGGTGTCTGCGGCGCCACCCGGGACGGGAGACGACAGAAGAGGATCTTGGAGCTCATGTCCAGTGTGGGCCAGGACCACTGGGACCGCAGGAGGCATGTCTGAGGCCCGGGGCTGGGAGCAGCAGACACAGAGGCCACGCCCCGCACTTCTCCCTTCCCTGGGCTGGGCACGGCCCCTTTTCCAGAATGTACTAATACTGCATCATTAAAACAGAAACACGTGTTCAAGCAGCTGAGGACACAGGGTTTCAGAGACGGGTGGAGACGGGCACCCGGGAAGAGTGGGATCCGGGATGAGGCAGGCGGCAGCCGGGCCGAGGGTGCCTGGCAGAGAGTTCTCGGAGTCTGTCCTCCCCGCGCCGTTTCCTCAAGACATGCTGGGGAGGGAGGGACACAGGCGGAGGTGCTAATGTCATTTTTTAAAGTGGAAAATGGGGGGGACCAGCAGGCCCTGTGGTGGTTAAGGGGCTGGACACTCCCACATGGCTAACCACGGTTCGAGTCCTGGACCTGGTGGCTTGCTTTCTCACTTTCCCTCTCTCTGTCTATGTCTTGCTCTGGTCAAACTTAAAGAATAATACTACTAAAATAAATGAATAAATAATTCTTTTTTTTTTTAAGTGGAAAATGGGGACCAGCAGAGGGCGTAATGGTTACACCGCTGGACTCCCATGTAGCTGATCATGGTTTGAGTCCTGGACCTGGCGGCTTGATACGCCGGGCATGCGTGTGCGAGTGTGTGCCCAAAATCCTGAGGGGAGAATGGAGAAGGGATTGAGGCATGGCCATCCCCCAGGGGGGTGATTTCTTGCATTCCGTCTCTGTGTCTCTCCAGCGAGCGCACGCACCCTACAGCAAATCGCTCTTCAAAATAGATAAATACATAAATAAATAAAATAATAATAATAAAATAATTCTATTTTACGTAAGTAAAAGTGGAAAATCTTCTTCCACACGTATGGAATCTAAGTGAATGATCTGGGCAGCGTGGCGAGCTGTCAGCAGAAAGAGTGGCCCTAGTTCTTCAAGGCCTGCAGGCCCCACTGCGTGAAGCAGGCCTTCCCGAGGTGCTGACAGACAGCTGCAGGCACTGTGCACTCCGTCAGGCTGGAGGGGAGCTTCAGCCTGTCCACTGGCCCACCTGCCCACCATCCGGCCATCCATCCCTCCACCTACCATCTATCCATTGCACCCTACGCTTCCTTCTTTCGTGTTTTCCACCTTTTTAAACATGCATCTCTTGCCCCAGGAGAGGACCCAGGAGGCGTCTACATCCGCTGTCTGCTCCGTGTGCTGCTTTTGCTCATGGTGAATGACTTCCTTGTGTGTTTGGTGTCTGTGGGTGTAAACTCATCCCCGGAGGGCTTGTGTTGCAGTGTCTTTTCAGAAATCCACGCAGAACTTACTCTGAGCCATGCCCTTGGGGTAGTACTGGTCGGAGACCACTTTTGATGTTTATTCCTCAGCTTGGGGCCTCCTGAGTCAGAGGTAGTATGAGGCATGCAGCTAGCATGTTACGGATTTGCAGAGTCTGCAGTCGGGGATTCACCCTGCACGTTTCGAAGAAGGCTTTGTTATTTTTGCTGTAGGAGTGTATGCACTTGCACGTGTGTAAGAGTGAGAAAGCACTCCTGGGGACACGGCCAGACTGCAATCCCTTCTCTTCCACTCTCCCGTCGGGATTTTGGGCATGCACGCACATGCGTCTGGCGTGTCTTTCATGTTGCCAGTCCAGGACTCGAACCATGCAGTTGGGCGTGTGGGATCCAGCTGCCCTAACCCCATGCCACCAGCTGGGCCCTAAAGAAAGGTCTGGCTCTTGCCTCACTCCTGGGAGTGATCTCTAAGCCCTTAGAATATCCTGCCTGGTAAGAGTTTACCTGGGACCTCGGGCCATGCCAGAGTGTAGAGTGGGCGTGCGCACCACGCGGGATCAGCACGACCTCTGGCGGGCTGGGGCTGCGGGGGGCAGCCACGTGAGCGTGGCGAGCCCCAGTGAAAACCCGGACAGAGACTCGGGCGAGTGTCCCTGGCTGGCTGTACCCGGTGTCGTCACGCGCCGTAGCTGCAGAATGAAGGCTGTCTTCTGGGCTCCACTGTGTGGGGACACCTGGACGCTCCTCCCGGCCCCTCCTGGAGGCTACCCTGTGCATCCCGTCCCTTCGCCCGTTCCCGTCCTACCCCGTAACCGTGAGCAAGACAGCCTTGCGGGGTCTGCGAGTCCTAGCAAAGCATCAGACCCGAAGGTGTGTTTGGAACCTCCGAACACACGGGGAGGCTCTTCTTGGCCTCTGGAACTGGGAGGAGACCCTGGCGCAGGCAGCGGGTGGGAGGGCCGCCCTTCTGTCGGGGTACACCCTGGGCTTCAGGGCACCTGGCTCTGGGTGGGCGTCTCGTGGGGCCGCCACGCTACACAGAGCCGGGGCCCTTCTGCACCCTGCGGCATGTGGTGGCGCCCCCCTAGCCTTGTGCAAGGCTGACTGGCTCCGGTGACCCCGGCCCCCTGCGTCCCGGATCAGGCTGCGACTGGAGCCAGCCTGTGGGGAGAGACAGGGCTGGCGTTGGCCTGCTTCCGAACAGAGCGCTTTAGCCGTCAGCAATGTGAGGTCGGCCCCCCAGCCACTAAGCCACAGGGGAGGCCTGGAGCAGGGGCTTCTCAAAGCCGAGCTGTGAGCCAGCATTGGTGTGGTAGGGAAGGGACTGGACACCCACGGGGCTGGACCTGGTGGCTTGACGACCACTCTGGGCGTGTGTGGATAACATCTCAGCAGAATGGGGAAGGGGTGCGTGGTGGCCATCCCTTCTGGAGGGGTGATCACCCCCTTTCTCTCACTGTATCTCTCCAGCACACGCATGTGCCCTAGGGCAAAAACCTTAAGTTTTTTTTAAAGAAAAAGGAAAAAAGTCTTTATGTACAAATCTATATAAAATATATTTTAAAATATATAATTTTTTTGGAGAGATTATTGCTATAGGCACATGTGCTCGCCAGAGAGAAAGAAAGCGAGAAATCACCCCCGGGGGGATGGCCCGGCCGCAGTCCCTTCTCCTGCAGTCTCCTCCCGGGATCTTGGGCACGCACGCACACATGTGCCTGGCGTGAGTTTTGAGCCCCCAGGTCTGAGATGCGAACCGCAGTCGGCTATGTGGGAGTCCAGGGATCTAACCATTGTGCCATCTGCTGGTCCCAGGGGGACAAAAATTATTTACAAAAGTAAAGTCAAGTTGTTTTGGCTGAAAATGAGGGTTTGGTGGGGGAACAGGTGACGTGCACACCTGCCCCCTCACTCCACTTGGAGACCCCTGGGGACCTGCGGAGCGCCGCCCTGTCCCCACACCCCGGCTCTGCGTGGACACATGGACGGTCTGAGGACGCCATCCTGGGAGAGGCCCGTTGCAGCGGATCATCCAGCGCCGCTCAGGAGCCCAGGCGTGGCCTAACCGTGGGCTCCGTGGGCTCTGTGGGCTCCATGGGTGCCGTGGGCATGGCCGGAAGCGGCTTCTCCGAGTAGAGGCCACACGGGTGTGAATCCCACCTTGCCACAGGCCGCGGTTCACCGGCTCCCTCCTGCGCCTGCCCCGCCCACCTCCCCTGGACACCCGGCACTGCGGTCCCCACGCCCTCACCTGTTCTCTGCTGGCGCCACCTCTGGCTTCTCGTCGGCCTGGGGCAGAAGGAACTCCGGCTGGGGCCTGGCACTGTGGACAGAGCGCGAGGGGACACGGTGACCAGCTGGGCCGGGGAGAGCTCAGCTCCACTGCCCTCTGCGGCCCGGGGCAGCTAAGTGACCACGCAGGGGCTGACAGAGGCGGAGGCAGGGGTGGGTGGGCACGACAGAGGGGTCCTCCTCAGACCCTGGGTGCGGGCGCTCCCCTCAGCTGCAGCGCTGGACGGGTGCTGGCCTTGTCGCTCGTTCGATGTCTCTGTCCCCTCCCACCGCCGAGGCCCGCCCGGCCATGGGAAGGCCGCGGCTCAGACCGAGGAAGGAAGACAGAGAAAGGGAGGGGCCAGGAAAGGCAGAAGGACGGACGGACTCCGGGGCCTCGTGGCCTGAGGACGGCCACAACGGGGCAGCAGAGGCCCGCAGAGCAGGTGAAGACGGGGGCCTGGAGCCCTGTGGCCTGCGGGGGGTGTCGCAGTGACTGCAGCTGTTGTGGTC